AGCATCTGCAGTTCCTACTATCTCTGATATAGTCTGATCTGATTTCTTTTTCATGAAGCCATGCTGAGTCTGCTGGAATAGATTATGATTTTCCAAATGTGTTGCTATTACTCGCTTAATAATTGACTCCAGCATTTTTCCAACAACTGATCTTCGGGAAATTGGCATATAGTTATCTGCTTTTTGCTTCCTCCCTTTTTGAATAGGGGCGTCACTGACAGTTTTTCAATCCTCCAGTACTTCTTGAGAATCTAAGGCTTTTGTAAAATTATAACCAGTGCATCCACCATCTCTGTAGCTACTTCTTTTAGGTTCCTAGGATGCAAACTATTAGGGCCAGGGGATTTATCTGCCTTTTGCTCCATTAGTTTGTCTAATACTACTTCTCTAGTGATGGTACTTAATTCCTCCCCTCTATTCTTTACTGTTATTGGAATGTTTAAAGTATCTTCCACTGTAAAGACTGATTCAAAATATCTATTTAACTCCTCTGCCATTTCCTTGTTCCCTATGACTGACTCCTGCATTAACTTCCTAAAGGGTCTATGTTCACTTTGACCTCTCTCTTCCTCTTTATATTTTTAAAGAAGCTCTTATTGCCAGTTTTTACATTCCTCACCAGTTAGCCTCGTAGTTTATTTTCTCTCTTTTGTTACCTTTTTCATTGTCCTTTGCTGGATTCTGAATTTATCCCAGTCTTCAGGGTATCATTAACTTTTGCCTCCTTATGTGCTTTTTCTTTCAATTTTATATTTTTCAACTTCCTTAGTTAACCATGGTTGGTTTATCCTTCTCTTAGAATCTTTCCTCCTCACTGGGATATATTTTTGCTGAGAATTATGCATTACCTCCTTGAATGCCTGCCACTGCTTATTTACAGTCTTTCCTGCTAATGTATCTGACCAGTCCAATTTAGCTAACTCTATCCTCATTTCATTGTAATTCCCTTTATTTAAGTTAAACACAATTGTTTCTGACCCAAGTTCCTCATACTCAAACTGA